TGGTAGAACAGAGGCAGATAAAAATAGAAAACTCCTTATCTGATCTTTGTGGAGAAAATTAAACTGAAAAGAAAATCCAAAGTCTAAATCCAGAAATCCCTCCACATCACATTATTTTACTATTATGCTGTAATTAGTTTAGAAAAAAAAACAAATGTGCCTTCAGGCTAATCTCCAGATTAATAAAATCTGTGAAAAATTACAAATATGTGATGAGAATACATATGTATGTGTGTGATCGTGTGTGTCCACATGTGTATAACATGTCAAAGTTCTCCCTGAGATTTTTTTAGGCTCTGTACTTATAATACCCAACATCTAGATCACTTATCATATATATGCCAAGCTCTGGGCAGTGTGGTTTACATTATGAATTACCTCAGCTAATTTGTTCGAAGCAAATATTTTCATAGTATTGAAAATATTTTATAATATTGAAAATCATTAAGTGGAAGGGAAATGTACAGATTCATACTTTGTAAAATAATATAATTGCTGGGTTCCTACTTCCAATATTGTACTTTCTCAATGTCAAATAGTATATTATCTCAAAAAATGCTAATTGAAGATATCTCTATAATCAGGTCTATAATATTATTCTGCATAATTTATTGTTTTTGCAGTGCCGTGGGAATGATGAAAGATTGTTCAATCAGAAAACGGTTTCATATGTCCCAATTCTTTATATGCTGAACAGCTATCCTCATTATGAACCTAATTTCTACCAACGTAGACCAGCTATACTGATTAATAGTCCATATATGCTTCACACATATTATGCAAAACCAGCTGTACGTAAGCCACATGCCCAAATTCCTCAGCAGGCGGTCCTGCCAGATATTCACCCACCCACCATGGCACGTCACCCACGCCAACATCCATCACTTTTTGCCATGCCTCCAAAGAAAACTGAGGCTAAAACAACCATCCCCACCACTGCTACTGATGAGCCTATACCACTTCCTGCCACTGAACCAGTGGTGAACAGTGTAGTCCCTCCAGAAGCTTCCTCAGAGTCCATCCCTTCCTCAGAGTCCATCACATCCTTAGACTCCATCCCTTCCTCAGACTCCTTCCCTTCCTCAGACTCCATCACATCCTTAGACTCCATCCCTTCCTCAGACTCCATCCCTTCCTCAGAGTCCATCACATCCTTAGACTCCATCACTTCCTCAGACTCCATCACCGCAAACACCCCAGAGACTACTGCAGTCCAGGTTACTTCAACCGTGGCATAAAAACACTAAGGAACCATCAAAGAAGACAACAGGTAAACGAGCAAAAAGAAAACGAACAATCCAGACAAGAAACATGGATTCATCAATATAATCATAAATTTTAAAACAGTACAAATGGATAAATGAAGTGTGTTATGGGAGCAGGCAAAATAGGGTACTTAAATTTTTGATTTGGCAGAACCACAGCATTGCTACAACACTAGGCTCTGTTCCAAAAGAAATAAAAAATTTATTTCACAAAATGAAGAAAATCGGGGATTTTGTTATCAAATTTTTTTTGAAAGTTGGAACACGTCTAGAACCTATTAGATTTATTTCATCCCTATCCGCACACAAACTATGACAGTAGAGCAA